GCAAAATCTCAGTCAACAACTCCAACAAAATTATGACTGACCATTTCAACATCACATGCAACCAAATCTACAAATTTTGGTCAACAACAAATTTATATGCAGCAACAATTAAATAATCTAAATTAGCAAATGCTTCAACAACAAATGCAACAAAATTCAACCAACTCAAAATGTTGATCATGAGGTTATTTCTTTTGATAATTCATTATCAATCAATTATTGTAACAAACTCCCCATCAAAAAAAAAGACTAATGACAACAACAACCGGAAATAAATAATTTGGTTATGGAATTTTGGGTAAAGTAAGTACCTGAAGATGCAGAAAATGCCAGAAAAGAAGTCACTGAAATAATCAAAAATTTGGTGAGTTAAATAACTAACAATTTTAAAGAAAAAATAGATTATTCAACAATTTCATCTGGTCATAAGGACAAAATTTACAATGAGTCAATGGTGTTGAAATGATAGTCCCTGATGAGAAAGAAGCCAACCATGAAATGTTGATAGTTTTGAGGGCAGAAAAGGTGACAACGAATTTCTGGTATATAGTAAGAAAAAAGAACTTCATATCATGGAAATAATGTAAAAAGTGAAGAATAAATTGTTAAAAGTGCAACATGATTTGTCATCAGATTTTTCTGTTCAAACATTAACTGTTCCTGTCAAGCATCATTGGCATATTATTAGACCTAAAAGAAGTACTTTGAATACAATTATTTATAATGACTAAGGTTTCTGGTCCAAACTGTTTTCTCATAGCCCAAACTAGTTTGGGCAATTTGGGCTTCTCAACATTTTCTATAAGCATGGGCATTAAAAAACTATATGAATCAACTTGTTTTAACTTGAACAACTTTAAAATAACTTCGCCCAATTTTGGCTAATAACAAAAAGTAGTTTGGGCTTATAAAAAAATAATTTTTGCCCAAAGTATTTGGATAATTTCGGCTACTAATAGAAGCAGTTTCGACCAGAAACCTTAATAATGACAGTAGTAATGGTGGTGGTAGTGGTGCATATTCACCTGTTTCAGTAAAACTTGGATTGTCTAAAAATCATTAGGTGCAAGTGATCGATCATCAAACACACAACAAATTTTAGATAATTCTATTATAGCTAAAAGACCTGTTAAAGAAGTTGAAAGAATAGTTGAAGGAATTAATGAAAAAGTAGAAGATGCTAAACGTATTAAGGTTCTTGTTACACATACTTGTAAGGAATATTATGAATATACTATCACATCATATAAATTATTATTTTATAATATGAAATCATTTACAGCAGAATTTACAATTCCAGAAATTAACAATTCACATATTATTAGTAAAGGAGGAAGCAAAATAAAATTCATCCGAGTTTAGATGCAGAGAGGTTTGTTTGTTATAAGTTTACCAAATGAAATATTAATGAAGATCTTGAAATATTTAAAACAAGTTACAAGTGCTTACATCCAGAAAACATAATTCAGATAAAAAATCTGTATCTAAATTATATCTTTCCTATTATTACTAATAATAAATGTGGATTTTTTTACTATTTATTATATTTATTAATGTTATATATTTATTATCAATTATATATTTATTGCCACTATTATTAATTATTGATCAAAAAAAATTTCTACTACTATTAAAATTGTAAAGATTTTTTTTTCATATATGGGAAAAAAAATCATTGATTACCATAAACCAGGGTTGGCAAATTGACTAGTCCATTGAGAAGAGATGGATTTTGGATGGTTCATTGCAATTAATAAAATACTAAATATGGTCAAAGTGTTACACTAATGGACCCAATGGACCACCAATAGACCATCAATGGACTGCACATTTGCCAACCCTGCCATAAACTGTGATATATATACCATTATGGTAGCCAAGATAGCAGAAATTACAGTGCCAACTATTACTATAGATATTCACAAGTTCGTTGTTTTATATAACTTTTTTTTTAAAAAAATTTAAAGTTCAAAATAAAATTTTAATATGTTCATAATAATTTCATTTAGCAAACTAATTATTTTTCTCTCAGTATCAAGACTAAGTTCATGATCATCTTCATAAAACACCATTTCTTCACCCTCAAAATTTTTGATCCAAATCGAGGTGCACTCTGATCTTAACTAAAGACTAGTGCCATAAATTATGATGATGGTAGTAATTGTATTTACAGCATATAAAAAGTGGTGCAATTACCTTTGCAACCACTTTTGCAACCATACTTTTTCCTTTTTTGGATTATGGCACTAGTCTTTAACCTTAGATATTTATTTTCATATGTGTAAAATCTTTTGAATCTCAATAATCTTTGTAGATTTTTAAAAAATATGTTTTCACCAATTTTGAAATTTTTCGCTATAATTAAATTAATATCGTCATTTTTTCTAGTTTTTTTTATCACTTTTCCACCTTCCCTGGAGCTACCACCATCACCACCACTACTACCACTAATATTAAGTAAATACAAAAAAAAAGTTTTAATTAAATCATAAATTTATCAACACAAAACTAGAGTGGCAATAACCACCACCACCATCTTTAAAACACTTACTTGCATTGTTCTTTGTCTTTGTGGTTGCTTCTTTTTTTTGTATCTTTTTTGATGACATGTTTTATAAAAAACTAGAGTGGTGGCAATAACCACCACCACCATCCCCATTCATACCATTTGCTCATAATTGTAACAATTTAAACAATTATCGATTGATAATAAATAGACTAACTTATTTATATTATATTTTCATCTATTTATATTTTATCAATCTGTGTAATCTTAATTAATAATAATGAACATTTTATGAAATAATAAAATAATAATTATCTCCGCACAAAAATAAAAGTATTTTTTTGTTGTAAAAGTATTTTAAATTTGTTTTTAAAAAAGTAATTCTTACAATAATAATCATGAGTTCTGAATTGTGATAATGAGGACCATTATCAGAAAGTATACTCACCCATTTTCAACCACAGAATGCAATGAAGATGCAGTAAACCATGCATCTTGATGAATTTGATCTGGGATAGCGGTATCAGTATTTTCTACCACTGCTACACAATTTACTTCGAGCTTATTCTTGACCTTATGCATAGTGACTGGAATAATAAAATCTTCTCCATTAAAGGGAATCTTCAATTCATCTTTGGCCCAATCTATAGCACATTTAGTAGAGGGTTCGAAAATATTAATGTTGGCTTATGATGTTTTACAACCACAAAATCTTCATGTATGGTGAAACCTGGGAGGAATGTTATTGGTAAATTACGAACCACACACCAATAGATTCGGTTGGAATGGTAGCAATGCCACTGAGATCATACTTTTTCGATTTATCAATTTTTTCACCTATGCGTTTAACAATGTCTTCTGATGTAATTGCAAGTTCGGCCGTGGAATCAATGCCATTGCAGGAATTTTTAAGCGCTTGATTTTACATTTTATAGTTGCGATACTTGTAGTGTTTTCTTTTTTCTGAACGAAGTCTATTTCCATATGGTCTTCCAATGATTCCTCCTCATCTTCATCTAGTATTTCTGGAACTGGTACTCGGTAATTTGTGAAATCTGGTTGATTTGGAGACTTGAAGCTTTGTTTCTGAATAGGCGCAACTATATTAGATGAAATTTCGATGTTTGCTTTAAGGTTCTCCATCAAATCTACAGGTAGGATACCATCAAACATATTTGGTATAATTTTTTGAAGGGATTTATCAATAAGATTTGGTTTAGCCATACTAGCTCCACTATTTCGTCCTTTATCAGAGGAAGTTATTTTTCACTCTGTTTTGTTTTACGAGTTTTGGACTTTCTCCCAGAGGAAGATTTATTTGGGGGGGTAGAACTCCGAGTCTTTGACTCACCACTCTTTTGCTTCACTTTTTTTTTGCTTTAGCAGTGTTGATTATATTCTGAACGATTTCAGTAATATTCTCAGATTCGG